AAGTAGCATGTATTTACTTTATCCACTTTATTTTGCTTTAATTCCATAGTGACTGGGGTATCCACTGCTTACAGTGGCCTATATCTTGCAGTTGAATCCACTCAGAGCTGTAATTAAGGCATGCTTTTTTAATCCTTTTGGGATTTTTTTTCTGTAAAAGGTTAAAAGGTGCTATAAATTAGGCTTTATTTTGGCCTGCTTTGTGTTTGTCCTGATTTCAACTGGGATAGAGTTAGTTTTCTTCTTAGTAGCTAGAATAATGGTGTGTTTGTGATTCAGTGTGAATAAAACTCCATTTTAGAGTTACTTTTTGTAAACTTTCTATGGGCTTCAGAAAAAAATTGTATTGTTAACTGAAATTTGTTAATCCTTCCTGTAGAATTGTCTTGGATTTGCTGGCTCTGTCCATACCGTGTTGCAATCCAGCTTGATCTATTATTTAACTAGCACAAAATGTGGCAATCGTCAGTCAAACAGTAGGTTGTCTGTCTGTTTTAATAGATCCCACACACCTGATGTGTGGAATAGAGACCTTTTTTCCTTCTAGGGAGAGATCAGTCTAACAGATACTCTTATTCTTTATCCTCAAGGAAAAGAATTATAAAATCAGATTTCTTATTTGTGACACTCAAATGTGTGTTTCTGTGGATGCATATGTGCTTGAGGTTAAATGGTGTATTCCGAAGGGTATATGCTTTTTTAATGCATGAAGGTAAAGTAAGGACAGTCTATCTTCTCTGCATCTCAACTGCCTTAGCTCTCAATGGAATACCTCTGCTTTGATTTAAAAATCAGACCTGATCAGCAAAAACTTAGTCCTGTTTCTTTTAGTTCAGCTTTTTATAGATTTCATCTCTGAAGTTCATGCTTTTGCCAAAAAAATACTTGCCTTCAGTTATGCAGTCATAAAAGTTTGAAGTATTGTCCTTAGTCCAATGGGTAACACCAGCCAAGGATGCTTTTTGTTTTTACTGGTCAAATGAATCCTGTGTTCTCTGGGAGCACTTAGTCTGAAAATAATGCTTGATGGATCAGTAGAAATAGGTGAAAAAATGTGTCTGTACATTAAATGTGGTGTCAGCTATGGACTGGAGTATCCAGGATTCCTCTGGACACTTTTAAATCATGGGTTTCTTGCTTTGAACTGTTAATATTATCACAGGCATTTGTGCTATTAATGGAGCTCAACAAGGGAATGGTTACTATTGTCAACTCTGCTGAAGCATGAGACATAGCAAAAGCAGGGTTTGACACATAACCTCTGCCATTCAGAGGCTACAAATCTATATTGTCATCGCTGTACCTTTAGAGACCTTCAGTGCTGGTCAGAAGTAGTTGGTTATTTAGCTAGATGAGTTTCCTTCGTGACAGTCCTTCCTGTTTCTTTGATACAGGATGACAGAATCGATGAGGTTTGAATGGACCTCTGGAGGTCATAAAGGCCAACTTCCTTTGCTCAAACTGGTGAAAATTGGAACAGGTTGCTCAGGATCTTGTTCAACTGGGTTTTGAATATCTCCAAGGATGGAGACTCCTCAACAACCTGTTGCAGTGTTCAATAACCCTTACATTAAATTACATTTAAACCCTTTCCTGGTGTATTTCGGTTTGTTGCCATTGCCTCTTGTCCTGTCACAGGACACCAATGAAGAGGAGCCTGTCTCTGTCTTTACTTACTCCCCTCAGGTAATTATCTACATTCATAAAATTCCTGTGAGCCTTCTCTTCTCCAGGCTTAACAGTCCTAGCTCTCTCAGCCTCTATTCATGTGAGAGACGCTGCAGTTCATCCATCAGCTTTGTGGCCCTTTCCCAAACTCTCTCCAGTATGTCCATGTGTCTCTTGTGCTGAGGAGCCCAGTACTTCAATTGTCTGAGGGCTGAGCACAGGGAAGGATCACCTCTCTTGACCTGCTGGTGACCCAGGGGCTGTCTTTGCTGCAAGGGCACGTGTGGCTGGCGCATGTTCCCCTTGTTCATGAAGACCCCCAGGGCTTTTTCTGCAAAGCTCCTTTCCAGCTGTTGGGCCCCTGTGTGTGCTGGTGCCTGGGGAGGTTTGTCCCCAGGGGCAGGACTTGGCGTTGCCCTATAAACTTCCTGAGATTCATGTGTGGGCTCATGTCTCCTGCCTGTTGGTGTCCCTGTGAATGGCAGCGCACGCCTCTGGGGTATCAACCTCTCCTCCTGGTTTTGTGTTTCCTGCAAACATGCTGAGGGTGAGCTCTGTCCCATCACCCGTCTTTGTTAATGAAGATGTTACACTGTCCTGGCCCAGGTATTGACCCCCTGGTGTACACCAGTAAGGGCAGGTCTGCAGCTGTGCTTTGTGCCAGTGGTCACAGCCCTTTGAACCTGGCAGCTGAGGCAATTTTTCTGCACTCAGAGGCCTGGGATTCCTGAGGGCTGCCCTTGCTGGTAATGACAGAAGCAAAGGTGGCAGTGAGTACCTGATCCTTTTCCGTATCTCCTGTCAGCAGGTCCTCTGTCAGCCGTGGAGCCCTAGTCTTCCTTTTGCTGATGATATTTTTGCAAAAGCCTATGAACCATTCTTGAGCATTCTTGATCCTCCTTCTTGCTTTGATCCTTCTTCCTCTTGGGATCCTGTGCTCTACTATGTCATGGTCTCTGCAGCTGTGTCTGCCTTGACCTTCACTTCACTGTCTATTTTTTCCATGTTTGTAATTATGATGTGCAGCAGAGTGTTGGCCCTTGTTTGCTCCTTAGTAACCTCTTTCAGGAAGTTATAATCAGTGTACTCCAAAAACCTTCTGAGTTGCTTGTTCCAGGAGATAAGAGGGTAGTTCATGTTCCATGTGAGGATGAGGTGCCTGTAAACGTGCTTCAGTTGTATGAACAGGGTCTCATATATTTTGTCTTGATCAGGTGAGGAATAGCATACACCTGCCACAAGGTCACCCATGTTGATCTGCCCTCTCATCTGTGACCGGTTAGCTCTCAGCTGTTTCATCATCCATTGCAGGTAAAGCTCCATGCATCCCTGCCAAATAAAGTGCCAAATAAAGGGCACTTTTGCACTTTCCTTCCTCACCATCCCAGACCGTCCTTAAAGAGCCCGTATCCAGCCATGGCAGCATAGTGGCTCAATGTGATCATGGCCGTGCAGCTGCATGCAGACCACTAATTCTTCCTGTTTGGTCGTCATGCTGCATGTGTGTTGGTGTATGGGCATTTCACAGAGGCATCCAGTCATGCTGGTTTGCTAGAAAAGGTATTAGAGCTTCCCCCATCATGCTGTCCTGCAGGCAGCACTTTATATTTGTGCTTATATTTGAGGTGGAACCCTGGTTAGCTCTGTTTTTTTTGTTTACAAGGTATCTCTCCTTGGCTGTGGTTTGTCATCTGCCTCCCCTGATGTTGCTGATATCCTTCTCATGGAGCTGCCCCAACCCTCTACCTGCCAGTGGACCTGCTGCTGCATTGTACCTTCTAGGTGTTTACAGCTACTACTGCTGTTTTCTCCAGAAATTAAATCTAGCTGTGTGCAGCTTGTAATTCTTTAGCCCTTCCTTGTTCCCCTTTCAACCTGAGAAAGCACTTTTCTTTTATGCTTTGTGCAGATTTGCATATTTTTCTGGGGTTGTCAGAGGAAATTGCCATAGCTGGTTTCCTATGGTTTTACCTGACCAGGTCATTTATTTAGTGACAGTGCTAGTGAGGGCTGTGGGGAAGTGGAAATCTTTGGCAGCTTGTGCTATTATTGTATATCAAAGTGATTCAAGAAGTTCTTGGACAGCCTGTTCAATTTTATTCTTTTTACCATTAATTTCTGAATAGTCATTTCCTCACAACTGTCCTATGCATTGAAAGATTTTGGTCACTATCTCTTTAAAGCCTTAAGAATTTTTTTCTCCCCTTTCTTTGGAGGATTATAGTGAGTTCTCACTATTATCATGTCTGGTTCTTCTCCCTTTAGACTTCTTAAAATTCTCTGTATATATTCCACTACAGTCTGGGTTTCAGAACAAAATGTTTGTGTTATACAAGGTAATTCTTCCTTTCCCCTCTTTTTTCTTGTATCGTTCATTGACAAGCCCATACTTGGGTATCTGTACTTCATAACTAATTTTAAACTGGCAAAGCAAAACTTGGGGGGATATCTCATGTGACTGAAGATTTTACCAAGTGTTAATTTTTTCCTCAGATGAGTTCTTAGTTTTGTCGTTGTTTGAAATCCGTGGTCACAATTTGGATAAGCTGCTGTATATTGAGTAGTTTACGTATGCCTAGGGTATATCCCCCCCAGCATGATCTTTTAACTTGTAATAGTTTTGTATCTTAAAGATATGTTGCCCTTTGTTTCAGAATAAGCCATTTGAAAGGGCAGTTTTTAGGTGTTTTCTCAAAAACTAATAAATCAGAAATGAGTTTCAAAAGCTCTTCTGCATCTCTTCTGTTCAAGTCTTAGTACTGATGGCCTTGCTCTGTCTGAGATTGTGCAGGATGCTGGGCAGAGGAGTCCGTCTTAGGCTACATGCTGAGGCAGCAGGCTCGTTGTCTTGCAGTTGCCACGGTGGGGGAGGATTGAAAGGTTTTCCATCAGCCTTTATTTCAGTGACCTTTTCCAAGTTAGGAATAGCAGTTGACTAGGAAAAACCTAAATAGTCATTTCTCTTCAGTGGGTCCATGCAGTTTTCTCTTGAGTTCTTTAAGCTGAAAAATAAAGAGAAATTGAGAAGGTAATATTTTCTGTTTTCAAAATGCCATTTCTGCAAATCTTTGACTTACTGAGCTTCCCACGCAACACATATTTGGAATTTATTAAACTGCTGTATGTGAAGGCTCCCATGCTTAATGCTTCCAGCAGCTTGCATAAGTGAGGTAGAATGAAAGTTCGAAGTAATGTCAGCATGTGAAATGTTAACAAGTAAAAGCATGATAAAATTTTTTTAAATATTTCCAGGGACTTAATTTTCATCATCTACTTAATGCAGTAACTACATAGTTTTCACAAACTGTGTTTGCTTATTCTTTCAGGCTGAAGGTTTTGGAACAGTTGTTGGAAGATGTTAGCTGTGGATACTGGGATTGTGGAGGAGTGGTTATCGGAGTTCAAGGTAATAAATATAATGTCAGACAAACGCTGCAGCCTGTTGTGTGCTTGATTGCTGTAGAAAATGAAGAAAAATAGTAACCTTGGATTTTGCTGAGATAATGTGATATATGCAGATGTTTGCTTGAAAGGATTTTTTTCCTTGTCCTCTTTGGGATTACATGTTTCCTGCTACAGACCAGTGATGAATGGTTTGAGAGTAGACTTGACTATAGGTTTTCCTCATCTGCTTAGATACACTGGGAATGTGTTTTCTTATCTGTATCATGGAGTGCGATCCTTTGAAGGACTGCAGATAAGTGCTGTAAGAGCTATGAATAGTAAGTTTAAATACACAGCTTCCAAAGGGTTGCTAAAAAGATTAGATTCTTACACTCTTAAGTACTGGCAGAAAATCTGTTTAGTGTTAGAGAAGAGCTGTTCACATCAACTAGAATTTGTGTTCTTTCATAGTAATACTGTACCTTGCAATAATGTTCACGAGTTGTGTTCAGTCAGTCTTGAGAAAACTTCTTAAAGTATGGATTTGCAAACTGCTAAATTTCACAGTACTAAAATTTCACAGTGAAATTTCAGTGGGGTTGCACCTGTGAAACTCTTAGTTTTTGTCTGTTTACCATCCACTGTCATTACATTCTGTATGAAGCTATTTGCAAAATGATAAAATGCAGTGTGTCTTCTGGCAATTTTGTTGTCCTGAAAACACGGTGGTTTCCATAGTAAGGATTTCTTTGTGAAACAAGTTTTGGTTTATAGTAAACTTATAAACAGTAACTTGGAAAATTGTTGAAATAGCTGTTATATGATAAAATATATGTGTTATAGAATAGCTGTTTTGATGATAAAAATTGCTTTTTCTAGTGGTTATAATATTTTTATTTCAGACACTGCCAGAAGCGTCCATATCCAGCTATGCTACAAACTTGAAAGACAAGAGTGCTTTGATTTCATCTCTTTACAAAGTAATTCGGGAGCCACAGAGTGAAGTGAGTATATTGGATTTGTCACATGAAATGTCTGATGTAACACCAGCAGAAAAAAATAAGACCTTGCATGCTAGTTAATTGTGTTCTAACTACGTGAACTACAGAACTACATCAAAATGTTTGTTCTTAGCAATGACATACTACCGTGGAAACAATTCGTAAGTTTTGTAACCTACTGATCATAGCTAAGCTTGTAGATCATAATCATGGGCTTCAGCACTTGGGTATTGAACTGAGAAATATGCTAAGGAATTGAAAAAGATGTTTGACATAATTCCTTCTGTAATTCAGTATCACTTGAATGTGAGCCTATAGCTATCAGAAGCTTGTCTACTACAACTCAAGAGAAGAATGTTAGATAGGTTTGCAATCCTTTTAAGTTATTTCTTAGGTTTTAGGTTTTTAGTTCTTTTAAATACGTAAATATACACATTTATACATCGAATGTACCCTTGCTCAAATGATGGCAAAAAAAAAGGGGGGGGGAGTAGGAGGCAGGTTTGCTGTGTACCTGTGCAAGGAATGGCTCCATACCCCATGACAGCACTTGTTTTAAAGTGTCCAGCTGAGTTCAGAACATACTGAGCTGGTATTAGTTCTGTCTTGCTAAGGGTATTGTCTCACTTTCTACTGTCAAGTAAACCTTTGTGAGTTCTTTTAAAATTGCACCAAGTCCTTAATTCCTTGTCTGAAAAGACCTAGCATACTGAACCTTTCTGAAGTTTGAGATGATGCCAATAGTTGGCAGAGGATAAAATGCTTTCAGTGTATATGCTTTTAGAGAGAATACTGGTAGAGAGACTTGCAGGTTGTCCAACAAAGAGGAAATATAATTTTATTTGCTGCTCAGAAAAGTATTCTGAGTCATTCCAACTACTGAGTCAAGCCTGTCTGGTCTTCAGAATGCATATCAACATGTAAATTAATCTGATGAGTCTCCCTGTTAATAGACAAATTGATACTTTCATGTGTTCATTGGTTTCTTACTGCTTCTGGCTATCACTAGGTTTTTCAGGGACCTTAGTAGCAGGGTGGTCAAGGTCCTGCAAATTCTGCTCAAAAAGGTTGTTGGGATCATTCTGGAGGCAAGGTATCAAAGATTTCCCTGCTAGTGACACTATTGAAATGACAAGCCAGTGCTGTCACTGTGGTGTGCTGCCTTGGAAGAATAGTCCTGAAATCTGTATTTGGATCATTCTCCGAATACCTGGCACTTTGTGGAAAGGGCTACTTGGAGCTTTCCACATTGTGAAAATACTTGTAAACTAGAAATTAAAAAGCCAAGCAACTTTTTTCAGCTGTTACCTGAGATCGGTTAGCTGCACTGTGTAATGTCAACTTCTTTACAGTGTAGGGTATGTGCTGTCCTTCCTTCTGTGTGTAATGCAAAGGGGAAGGGTTAATGCTTGAACACTACAAATACTGCTGAGATTAAAAACAAACAACCCCATCTGTATGCCTTTGAATATATGTACTTCTAATATAATAATTGTCTGTACCTTAAAATTGTGATTAAACTTGTTTTGGGGATGCATGTGTTCTTTTTTTAAGCATTTAAGAAGTAACCATGTGTATTTGCATCAGTGACTGCATTTTCCTACGGGTTCATGTTTGCTTTTCTTATGGCTTTTTTTGTTTGCTTTTCCAAAAAATTAAGTCAGTTTGAGACAAATGAACTACTTGTTTGCTATAGCAAAGAACTATCCAATTCATAATAGCTTTGTTAGTAAATACTTTGTTAGTTACTTTTGAGGTTCCTGAGCCACTGATAGGTGAAAAATGTAATTCAATACAAGGAGAGCCTTCAGCAGATGTGAAGACTATGTGAAGAAGATGTGAAGTCTAATTGACTCAAGAGTCCCAACAGAAAAAAAAATTCTGAGGTTTGTTTCTTTACAAATTCAAGACTTTTTTGCTTTTTACCAAAAGCACTATTGCTGCCCTTTAAGATAGTACTCATGCAGGCATTTGCATTAGGAAATAGAAAGTGTTTGAAATGTCGTAACACATTTGGATGCAGCTTCAAAGGAAGAGGCATGAAATTGCTTGGATGTTCTTCTCTTCCAGCATTAAAAATTGTTTCGGTCTAGACACCTTTTTAGAACTGTTTTAGTGTAAAACAATATCTTGAAACAGCAACAATCATTAGTGCATTTTGATACTAGGTTGTAGCATGTGGTGGCCTTTTGAGGAAGCAAATCTGGTTTTGTACTGATTACGCATTTAAATGTGCTGATGTAAAGCTGTCTCAACTGAGATAATGATGTGAACGTGGATACCTGTCATAGCTATTTATGTTCCTTTTAAAGTTCAAGCACATCATTCTGAACTGATAATTCATTAAAAGAAGCATGCAAATACATGTGAAATATGTAAGCTGAAAATGGAAAGCACTTGTGCTGGTAAAGTTTTCTAGAAGGATCTTTGATATTCTGCTCTTAAAACTGATGACTAGCTTAGCTTGGCATGATTTTTTGCCTTTACTGTAGATTTTTCACCAATTATTTTTCCAAAGAGAAGCTATATCTGTCAGAAGCTAAAGGTTCCTCTTTTTTTGAATGGATCAGGTTGTCCCAAATTACTTCTTAAGAACAACCAAATTCTGCTGAGATCCTTTGGGTTCAGAAGTAACTTTGTGGGGTAAGAAAGTTGTTGACTCAACTTTCCTTCTATTCAGGAGGAAGAACTTAGGAAAGCAAGCACCTTTTTTTTTTTTTTTTTCCTAGCATGCTCTTCTGGTGGGGTTGCCTCCTTTGCTGCAGTAGAAGGAGGAAAATACAGAAGAAAAGTTTCTTACCTTTTTGAAAGCTTGCTCTGTTGAAAAACTGAAAATGTGAGCTAGACAAATAGCAAAAGAACTGAGTATTGTAGTTAGAATAAAATGGGAAACGGGGTCTGCATGGTACTAGCAGTAAAGTATGTATCTGTATTCTAGTTTTTAAGGATTTTCAGAAAGGTATTAATACTTCACTTTCTGAAGTGAAGTTTAGTGGCAATTCTAATGATTATGGTATCTTTTCTCAGTAAAATCTCTAAAATACATGTCTGTTTGGTTTGGATTCCATCATTTTCAGATTGAAACTTTTGGGGATTTTGTACGGGAATATGTTTCAGTGAAGCTTTGTTACTAGCCTGAACATTCCTGGTTTTGAAAGGGATTTAGTCTGTTTCTGTGAGTCATGTAGGTGAGTTGTTATGATGTTAGGTCTTGGAGGTAAGAAACAAGGTAGCAAAGCTAGTCCTTTAGGTATGTTACATTTGAATCCTGTCTTTCAGAGATTTGGAATTGGAGAATGTCACATTTTAATGCTTTTCTAATATACTATCTGGAGGTGATGAAATGAATTCTAAATAGCTGAAATCTCAGATTTCATGTTGTAAAGTCTGCTAATATAAATGTGTCAACTAGATTCTTTTTCAGAGGGTGGTTTCTTAGATAATAGGATCCTCCCATTTGTTATTACTTACAAGTAAATGATCTAAAAGATTGAATTAAAAATCCTCTTTTTCCCTTCCCTACCCCACTTCCTTTTTTTTAGAAGAAATCCTTTTACAATTCCAAGCTCAATGGTTTGCTGTGTTTGCTGCCAAAAAGTATATTTTAGTCCCTGCTTTTGAGTTTTTGCTTGAGAATTCAGTGTCTGGTTCATCTGGCTTTGAAAGTGCCTGCTGGTTTTGACAGTATTTTCCACTTGGGTTAGGAAATCTCCTATCTAGGTGACAAAATGAAAATATCAATTCCATAAATTGACACATGATAGTTAACACTATGTTTTGTCCTCTGGCAGAGGTGGGTAGTAGCACAAGAATGTGCATAAAATCTAGAAACACAGTGCAAGCTGATTGCTTTGTTGTTTTTAAGACTTTTAAAAACTTGTTGTAGCTCAAGGTATTACTTCCAGTTCAGTGCATTACTTCCATTTGTATCAGCTTAACAAATTTGATTATAACATTACTCTTGAGGCTTCCTAGTTCTGTCTCAAACTTATAAATACATTAAAGTTGCTAGAAGATTTTAATGAGAGTGGAAAAGTGAAATAATTCTACTATATACTAAGTGATTGTAATACTTTGAGTGCTATGCTGCTCTCCTCACTTGGTGGGTAAATCTAGCAATTTGTGTGTCCACTGTTGGAGCTCTAGAACAGCAAGACCTTTTGTTCAGGTGCTTTTCCTATATATTAGAGGTATTGAGGGCATGGTGTGAGGTGTGGTGATAACAAGTATCCTCTATTTATGCCTTTGAGGCTGGAGGAAGCGAGACAAAAATGAGAGAAAGGAGCTGTTGGAATTTTTCTTCGCATGAGATGGAAGGCTCTACTTTTATAATCTGAAAGTATGTTATAAGGGATGAAAAGTGTATAAGGTGACTTGGGCAGTTGTTGTGTCAATCACTCCCTAATAGCTAAAATGTAACATTTATTGGTGTACAGTTTTGTCTGGCCAGTTGATCCACACAAAGTTGCAGTTTCTTGTAATGTTTTATTCCTTCACAATTGTAATTTGTATTTCAGCTTCTGGAGCCAGTTTGCCATCAGCTCTTTGAGTTCTATCGCAGTGGTGAGGAACAACTACTACGATTTACCCTGCAGTTTCTACCGGAGTTGATGTGGTGCTATCTTGCTGTCTCAGCCAGCAGAGGTTTGCAGAACAGTGGATGCATAGAGGCTCTTCTCCTAGGAGTTTATAACTTGGTTTGTATTCACATGTAATTATTCAGGCCTGAAAATATCAGTGTGCTTTTGGGGGATACTATGCTAATTACTGGGGGATAATTAACATTTTGTTTCAGAATTGAAATTAAGTGATTTGAGTATCTCATTTTTGACTCTTCAAATTGATATCCTTGTCAGAAGTCTGCAACGTGAACTTTCATTCTTTTATTTTGGTGAATATTTTCTCTGCTGCTCTTGTGGTTCCTGGAAAGTGTTAATGCACTAATGGCTGAACGATTGAACTTAAAATTCTACTTGAGAGCCTTTAGAGGCACTACTTTTGAAGCTATTGCCCATATTTTCTGGGGTATTTTGACTGTCTTGACTAGAAAACACAAAAAATAACTTTCAATAAATTCTTAGTGCTCGATTGCTGAACAGATTACTTAGCTTTGAGAAATTAAAGGTCTCCTTTCATTTTGTAATAACCTTAACATCTTTTTCATATTTTGTATGTAAAGATAGTGTTTGTTACTGAGTTACTGCTTTGAAGAACAGACTTGTGAAGGAACTTTTAAGAGCACCATGTTTCAGTTATTACAGCAAAATACATTTAGTCTTTTTATGGCTATTATAAAAAGCTTGATGTTATGTCTATTGGGATTCTCTTCAGGGTAGCTTGTATGTTCTGGATGTTTTAGGAAGGTTTTTTGGGAAGTGAAACTGTGACAAACTTCAATTCTCCTTGGAACCTGAGGTAATTAACATGCTCAAGAGAGTCCCATAGTTTCTTACTGAAGGAAATGAAAAATTAAGTATTGCTAGCAATAATTTTAAATTAATTATGTTGTCAGGGGTATGTAACTATTGTGGCTGAACCTTGATATCATGAACTGGTTGGTTCTACCTTCAGCTTGGAGACATGCAGTGGTAATGCATGCAGTAGATTTTTGTCTTTCCTAGCTCTAGGTATAATTTTTTTTCTAATACTCTTCAGATCTTGAAGAGCACCATGAAACTTAATTCCAAATCTGATTAGAATGAAGAGTCAAAATATCACTATTTTTAGATTTTAAAAGTTTGGATGTTGCCAGTTTCTTTTCCCTTCTCCTCCCATACGTTGAGGAAAGTGTTTTCCCCACTGAAGCAGAAATAATATTGAAAATTAAAATATCATTGTTTTTTGAGGAGAGTGGAGGAGCTGTGTAACTCTTCAGACAGGAAAGCTCTATATGCCTTTTGATACTTCTCAGTTGTCCTTTACCAACTTGATATTCTACTTTAAAACATGAGTTTTAATAATTACTATCTGAAGTCAGTCCTTCAGCTTCCCAAGGCATGGACGTTAGGAGGTGCTGAAGCTCCTCTCTAATTGCTATCTTTGGATTATATGAAATCTGCTGCTGAAATTTAGGGGGAAAAAAAATTCTTTTGTGTGTGGTGTTGGTTATTGGTCAGGTCTGCTTTGGAACTTCTGAAGCTTTTTATTTGAAGTACTTTGGTGCTCTTCTCTGATACATAGGCACATCTTTTTTTGGCTTACCCATTAGTCTTCCAGTAACTTACAGGAATGGGAAGGCTGCTTAACACACTGCTATGTGGTATCTTGCAGGAAAGTAGCTTCTGTAAAGCTTTGCATCCATGCTTCTTTTATCTCCGTCTCCAAGTATGGAATTATCAGACTTGGGCTCTTGCAAATACTATGGTGTGTGCTACTATCAAACCATAGGAGTCTGCAATCACTCCGGAGCTATAATATTTCCAAACCGAATTACTTGTAGAGTCATTACTTGGTGTGTAAATAGTTTTCAGAACAGAATTATTGTGCATTAGCTTTCACAATTAGCAAATAGTGTATAATTTAGAAAAGATAACACTGTTTAAACATACTGAGATTTGCAGTTAGTGTTTTTAAGGTGGTCTACTTATGCAAATGCATGTGCCCTTTGCTAAGTAATTTGAATAGTTTTCAGAAAGAAAGCAAATGCAGTGTGATAGAAAGCAAATACAGAGGAGATTTCTAGCTTGTAGCTTGGATTGTTATAGTATCCCTATCTGTCCCTATAACAATTTCCTGGCTTTCTTTATCCATTCAACCCCATCCAGCATTCAACATTTTTGAATGTCTGGTTTCTGTAGTACATTGTAACCGTTGGTATCGTCTGTCTTTTTCAGGAGATAGTTGACAAAGAGGGACATAGCAAAGTCCTGAGTTTCACAATTCCGTCTTTGTCCAAACCTTCGGTCTATCATGAAGTAAGTGACATCTACAGCATAAAGTTGTTACTGATAGAAAAAGGCAGTATGATTTGTGGGCCTGTTTGTTAAGAATAAAAATTAGTTTTAGCGTGTTGCATAATGACATGGGAACATACTTCTCAGCCTGCTGAGTGCTACTAACTGGTCTCTAAGGCCTCTTCAAGACTGAATAGTCATGACTTCATAATATCCATGCACCAGCTATGTGGGTTTTTTCTATTCTGAAGCCATATACCTTATCTGGTGTAAAATAACTTCTCAAATCTAAGACAGCTAAGCAGTCAGCTAACCTTAAGCCTGTTGAAAATTTATGTACAAATATGGTGATGCTGATTGTTGTCTATTTTCCCTTGCATTGTAGCAAGACACATGATGACTGAGTTTTGAATGACCCTTTTTCTTTTAGCCTTCCAGCATTGGCTCCATGGCTCTCACTGAAGGAGCTTTATCGCAGCATGGTTTGTCCAGGGTTGTATACAGTGGACCTCATCCTCAGAGGGAGATGTTAACAGCACAGAACAGGTGAAATTGTATAATAGGATTTTGCTTGAGAATCACTAATTATTAATCTTATTTTTTATATAGCTATAGACTGAAGGTGAATAGGTGTATGCTGTGTTTTGTTGTGGTTAAACATCTGTAAATGTAGGTGCATTTACAGCAGTGCATATTACTGTATGACCAGCAGTGCATATTACTGTATGAATTGGAAAGGCTTACAGAACCAAACAACTCAATTGTCAATTTTATTGAAATAAAATACCAAATCTGTTCAAGTAACTCTTGCAAATTTCTGTGTAAACTTGTTTTCTTTTAAAAAAATAAAATTGATAATGTGATTCTAATGTTTCTTGTAAATCCTAGGTTTGAAGTGCTGACTTTCCTTCTGCTCTGTTACAATGCTGCCTTAAGCTACATGCCTGCAGTTTCTCTTCAGTCGTTGTGTCAAATTTGTTCAAGGTAATTTCTTTGGGTTGATTACACTTAAAATTGCATATTCAACTTGAAATGCACTCAGCTTGGACTTTCTCTTTAAAAAAAAGCTTCAGGTTTCCAGAAGCTACTTGTAAACTTGACTCTTTTTCATAAGTGTTTACAGCTGTATTATTTGCTTTTAAAGCATCTCTTATATAATTTTGGGTTGAGATCTCAAAATGAGGAGGGAATGACCTAGCCTATATGCAGTGCTGTTAAGTGGAGAAGTCAAATCAAGGGAACTGTTTGTTTCTAATCAAAGTGGTTGTAGGTGTGTTAACTAAATAAAATCAGAAAGGTCTTCTAAAATCTTGGTAAATTTTGCATTGCAAACTTGCTAAATATATTTAGATGCTGTGGAAGTTGAAACTTTCTTGAAATTGTGGTAGATTTTGAAACTATAAATACATCCATTCTTACAGGTACTTTGGGTATTTCTAAAATCTATTACTTCAAAAAACAAAACACCAAAACCTTACCTCAGCTTTAATTACAGTGTCTGTTTTTGATACATTTATTTTTTCAAAGAGGAAGAACTGGTAATAAATGTCTATCTCTAGTTTTTTGAAAGTAGACTTTGGATAAAGGAAAAAATGAGAATGCTCTTGTTAGCCCAGGAAACCCAAGAAAGACCTGGAAGTCAACTACAGCAACTTTATACCAGTCACAGTTCCCAGGTTCCTCACACAAACAAAACATAGTAATGGATGCCTGTAAGATTCTCTTCTTTTCAGAGGAATTTAAGGTAGAAAATATTTAAAACCTAAGGACAGTGGACAGGAGACTGATGTTGCTGATTCTGCTTGATTGGGTTTTGATTGTATTTGGGATAGATAATATTTTAAAAGCCTCCAAAAAAACCCCAAGCAAATTACCAGTAAATGCAAACAAGTATTTCTACTAAAAAATGTTGAATTATTTGATACTATATAATTCACCTTTTATCTTAGTTCTTCATTCCCTACTGGCTTTGATATTCATGTTTCTCTGCTCACTGAAAATCGCACCCTCACAGCATTTTAGGGATTCAAGAGAATATGTATCAGAAGACCAGAGTATCTTTCAGTATCCTATTTGGATGTGGTGCTGACAAAATTCTTAGAAGTATCTACAGGAAAGATGGAGAGGCACTCTTTATCAGGGAGAGTAGTGATAGGATGAGGGGTAGCAGTGGGAGGTGTCCTTGCCCATGGCAGGGGGGGTTGAAACTAGATGATCTTTGAAGGCCCATTCCGACCCAAACCACTCTATGATTCTTCCTGTATAAAGTCTCGTAATGTTTTTGTTTCCTTGCATGCTGTCACTAGCATGGCTTCCTGTCCTTCCTGATGAAGTGTTTAAAATCTTTTTTTAGTTGTTGTTTGGAGATACGCTGATATCGGCATGAAGAGTCAAATCTAGATCACACTAGGTGCAAAGTACATACTGGGAGAGTTGCTGAGCCAAAGAGATCTTGGGGGTGCTGTCTGCATTGTGTGTGGTTTTTTGTTGTTGTTTGTGTTTTTGGGGGGTTTTGGGTTTTTTTTTAAGTAACCAAAGCAGAAGCTGAGTTGCAGGATAGAGAAGAAGAGGGGGGGGGAAAGTACAGAAGGTTAGTGGCAAGGTTAGTAATAATAAAAAAAGGCTCCTGAAATAGCTATTACAGATGTAATTTGAAAGGTACTACAATACAATCTTAACACTTTTTTTTCCTGGGAAAAAGTAGGTGTAAGAGTAATTTTACAAGATTCCTGGTATTGAAGCTGAAGAATTGAAGCTTTCTAAGACTGAACCTTCTAGTCTGTATTTTGGAGAAGGGAATAGTTTGCTTAATATCATTAAATGTCCAGTAATAGACAATGAGTTGAATATTTAACTACACAATATCTTTAATTTCTAAAATGCTTAGCCTACAGAACCAGATGTGGAATTTAGTTCAGAACTAAATTCTAAAGCTGACTTAATGACTTTTAGAACAGTTTTATGAATGTGACACTTCTGGTCTCTGTTTGAAAACTTGTATGCAGCTTCCGTATTTTTTGCAATGACACTTATGCTTCTGTCTGTAACGTTAGTAGTTGCTATGCTGCTTTATTTCCTTAAATACGATTAACTTATTTTTTGTCTGTTCTGCAGCAAATGCATGGATTCAGAATGACTTTTACTGGCAGTTTTCTTTCGAGTTCCACAGTTTCGAGTGGCATGAGCGTCTAGGATGTCCCTCTTTTGAAGGATTTGAGCTCTGCCAGTAGAGGGCATACTCTTCTTCTGTAGTAAGAAATAGTCTGCTTCAGCACAGGGCTGTTGATGGATACCTTCCTGTGGGTCTCTTGTAGTTAAAATGTACACCAAACACCTAGCTTTGCAGTGCTTTATAGAAAGGTGGCTCTGCATTGTTTGCTAATGACAGTGCGTGATTTCTTTAGAATTTGTGTCTGTGGATATCCTCGCCAACAAGTGAGAAAGTACAAGGGAGTCAACAGTAGGATTCCAGTTTCGTCCGAATTCATGGTGCAAATGCTAACAGGGATTTATTATGCCTTGTAAGTTGTTTTTTTATATGCATACAAAATAATGTCAGCTTAATTTCTACACTCATTTAGGCATGCTACCTTTGAAATGTTTATTGTCTAGTTGACAGATGCTGTGCCTAGCAATAAGGTCCTCAAAAATAGAACATAGTTCTCTAACTAGTTAGCTGAATTAATCTATGTAATACTCGGGTAAGAGGGCTAGAGTAGCATTTAATAGGTATAACTGCTGATGTGTAAAAATCTTAAAAAAAAAAAAAAAGTTTTCCAACCATTGTCTGTTTTTGCATGCTTAGTTTTGATATCAGTTGTGTTAAAGAAAAAAGGTCTTATTCTTTTTCTGAAATGCTTATGTCATCAACCTTTGATAGTCATGTTAATGTGTGAAGCTCTCCTCTTATCTGAAATAGAGACTAGTAACACAGGAATACTCAGAAGGTGGCATAACAGCAAAACAATTGCGTTTGAATTTCAGAATATTTCACGACTAGCTGATCAATGACTAATTATGTAATTTTTAAACTCATCAAAGTGGCCAATGAAAATTAAACAGTTTCCATAGATGCTACTTCCGAACAAGTTCTCTAAATAGCAGGCTTACTGCTAATGTACGCAATTAGTTCAACTCCTCTAAACTGAGCTCTCAAGGAATACTAAATCTGTGAAGGTTATGTGACCAAGAAGGTTCATCTGTTGATGTAGATGCTTATTATTATGTATATATTTACTTTTGTAGTTATAATGGAGAATGGGATCTGGCTCGTAAAGCTATGGATGACATTTTGTATAGAGCACAGCTGGAACTGTATCCAGAACCTCTTCTGGTAGGTGTTGTATTACAGCATTTTTTTTGTAGAATTTTTCGTCTAGGAAATCCTTCCTGTGTACGTGCGTGATCTGACATCACACCAGGAACCTAAATCCCATGAGGTCTATATGGCTATGCTCGTGTGAATAGCTAGATCTGCAAGTGTACACACACGTGCACAGGTATTTTCAGTGCACTTAGTTATTTTGACATCTTCCCTAGTGAGCCAGCTATTTTCAGTAGAAAGCTTCTAAGTCTTGAAAGCTTAGATTGTAGTTCAGAAGCACACTGAAGTTAATGTTAAGTAATAGCCATATCTTTAACCTGGAAACTTTGTTTTAAAAAGTGACAGGTATTAAATGCAACTTAGTTCTGAGAGGTAATTGCAACCAGCATTCTTTATAACCTGTGCAAAAAGCTAGTGTGCTTTTTGACCTTAAACTGCGATTGTACACAGTATTCTTCTTGGGGTGGTAAGAATCCTCTGACAGAATTCTTCTAAAATTTGGATCTTCATGTTAAGAACTTAACTGCATCTTTTCTGTTCTAGGTTGCTAATGCAATAAAAGCTTCACTGCCTCAGGGTGCCATGAAATCTAGTAAAGAAGGTACAAGATGCATTCAGGTTGAAATTACACCTACATCATCCAGAATATCAAGAAATGCTGTGACTAGCATGTCTATCCGGGGGCATAGATGGAAAAGGCATGGTAAGAAGCACATTCTGCAATGAGTTCTCAGCTTTTTACATGTGTTTAAAATAATATTGATAATTTTGTTATTGCACATCTTTATTGCTAGTAAGCAAACAGCAGTTCAGAAGTTTTTATTTTCTTAACCGGTGAATGGGAATCTTAACGCAGTTCAGATGAAGTATATTCTTTATTTCCTTAATAATGTTTAAAAAAAACCCAACACACAAAAAACCTTTTTGTTAAAGGGAGCTGTACAAAGTTATTGATTCTTTAAAGAGGCCAATGTTTCTGTTTTCTTCTGAAAAGTACTGTATAGTACCTGAAGCAAAGCAAATATTGAACAACTTTACTGCAGAACCTCATCTGTCTTACCTTACTTAAATAAAAATTGGATTTAAGGGTAGAAGGATAAATTATTATGTTTTGGTGTTGTGGTTTAGTCCTGGCCAAAAGTAAGCACCACACACCACTTTCTTACTTCCCCTCAGTGGGATGGGGGAGAGAGTCAGAAGAGTAAAACTGAAAAAACTCATGGGTTGAGGTAAAGGCAGTTTAATAGCTAAAGCAATAGCCACACATGCAAGCAGAGCAAAAAAGGAATTCATTCACTATTTCCCATCGGCAGGCAGGTGTTCAGCCATCTCCAGGAGAGCAGGGCTCCATCCCACGTAACAGTTCCTTGGGAAGACAAATGCCGTAACTTTGAATGTGTGCCCCCTGCCTTCTTCCTCCAGGTTTATATGCTGAGCGTGACACCATATGGTGTGGAATATCCCTTTGGTCAGTTGGGGTCAGCTGTCCCAGCTGTGTCCCCTCCCAGCTTCTTGTGCACATGCAGCCTACTCGCTGGTGGGACAGTGTGAGAAGCAGAAAAGGCCTTGATGCTGTGTTAGCACTGCTGAGTAATTAAAAAAAAAAATTTTTAAAAAAAATCCCTGTATTATCAACACTGTTTTCAACACAAATCCAAAACATAGCCCCATACAAGCTACTATGAAGAAAATAGTCTGTTCCAACCAAAACCAGCACATTTGGACAAACTAATATAAGGGCTTCCACAAAGTAGAACACAGGTCTCTGCTGAGATGTAGAAAAAATGGTGCTGAATGTACTGCCAAAGGGGAAACATTATATTCTACTTCTTCTACCATCTTCAGATGAGGGAAGAGCCACTGGACCAGTGATGAAACTTGGCAACGGCTTGTTCTGCTGGCCTTGTAATTCTGATGACAGGCTAAGCGAGTGAGTGTAGATAAGAATGCTCTTTTAATAGATTCAGTAAAGATCTCGAGGTAGTGTAATAAAAGTTTCTCTATGATGTGTACTATATGAGCTTCTTTATTATATGGACAGTTCAGTTAGAAAAATATTGCCAAGTTACTTGTAAAGGACTGAGAGGTAATTCAGGTAAGCGTTGAGAAAATTATTTCTAAATACGCTGATAGAAGATTACTGCTGAGAAAATGATCATTTTTTAAATGATACACACTGGTGGTAGTAGTACCAATAGTAAGCTGTCAGAGGGGGTGAGGGGCAAAGAAGGGTAAGATAAACTTATTTTCAATTGATTAAAAATTGCTTAAAACACTCAGACAAAGTTGAGGGGCAAAACATGTGTGTCTTGAACTTGAGCGAGGTCCAGTAACAAGTTATTAGTGAAATCTCAAGACCGCTAAGGACCATTTTAGTTTTTATTTTTTTTCCTTTCTTCAAGCTTACAGTTATTAAGCAGGGATTATTGACCAGGTGCAAGAAAACTGTGTGATAGCTCAGCTTTTAAATGGACAAATGAAGCTTAGCAATTTTGTCAGCTATTATTTTTGAATGGTTCTGATGCTTGTTCAAATGAGGTGGTGGAGGGGAACACAGATTAGGGATACATTCAGAGGAATTGAAAATGTGTGAAAGTAAACATTCCAGTTGTCTTTGCATTTACAGAAAAAAATGAAATAAAAATGTTACAGAATCAGTATTGGAACTGTCCTTATAAGAATGGAAATTTTTCAGCAAATAGAGAAATCTAGAAGTTTTTACAATTATTGCCTTCTTGCAAGGGGTGATGCTTGGTGAAATTCAAGGAAAAATGAGTGTGACAAGTGTGCCCTGTAGCAGATAACAGTAAGTTGAAAGGGAAATGAGCATGATAGTGGGACTCATAGAAATGGGGGGGAATGCGTGTTTTATGGTAGCCTCATAAAACAGGACAAGTTGAGAGAAACAGTGATAATCTAGTCAGTATGACTCAGGTGAGGAGTAATCAGTGTTTAGGGATGAGGACTGAAAGATTAAAGGCCTACAAAAATGTTCTTGTCAACATTTTGTTTGGGTTATTGGGAAAACTTTGGATTTGCATCGATGGTACAGGATTTAATGAAGAGGAAGAAAATCACTTGGTGGAGGGTGGTGGTGGAGGGGAACTTGTATAGCAGGTTGTGGGAGTAGTTGTAAATTTAAAGGCTATATAAGCATTAGGCCAGTTTAAGGGCAAAACTGAGTCTATGGTATCTTTGCCTAACTGACCATCCCGTTGTTTTGTTTTAAATTATAAATGTTCCATGCATATCCCACTTCAGCTAATCTCCTCAAAATTTTCATTATAAAATACTAACAAAATTTTTGGTTGTGACTTGAAAAGCCTTTTTAAAGTCAGAGTGGATGGTGTTCTGATTTCAAAATTCCTAGTACCATAACTGAGTACCCCACAATTCCTGGTCAAAGAAAGATATGGAATAGATCCAACTGTATCCTGGGCTGCATCAAGA